ATTTGTTAAGACACTTTAGCAATGCTTGTGGGTTAACGCTAAGCTTCAACTTCGGTAATTAAACCGAAATTGGAGGTCGCTGTCGCGCTATAGGAAAAAGCCGTGTGCCAGATGCTGTTTTTTCCTACGAGCCACGTGAAAGGTACGCATAGTGGCGGCTCTTCATTGATAATTGAATGAATTGATTTGTGTGTTGAGGTAAACTTTTATTAATAAACTGTTCTCCAGACATATTATTCATTTATTCCCCATCTCGACCAGAAAAAATGGCTTTTCTCTATTTGCAGCAAATTTCTCAAAGGGCTGAATTATTAGATTGATTGGATTGAATGCAATTAAACTAGATGGATTTCCGTATTCTCTCTAATAGTAGTGCACCCTGAACGTCGCCTAAATTCCTCGAAATCTCTAGAACCGCTTATCAGAACCTATCGATCTGGGGTCGAAAAATGTAGCTGACGATGAGATCTAGTGGGGGATTAGAGTGTTGAGCTTCTGTGAAAACTTTGAAAGCCGTAAAATAGTTCAACTCGGCTCGCCGGGATGCACTACTATTAGAGAAAAAACGGTAGTAAGCCTCTTTTCGTCAACCACTCTTCAGCTCGAACTTTGGTAGGCAACGTCTAGCTCGCCAAAAAGATTGACTTAGACAAAAAGATTGATAATAATCTAAAAAGCTACCGTAATTCGTCTATTTATTTAGTTCTATTCTTTTTATATCAAAATCAGCCCAGAAGTAGATAAAGATACAATTCGATCGATCAAATTTTTCATAGGAGTCACTTTGGCTTTGAGATACGTTCGAACACACGTCTCAGAACGTCCAATGCAACGAGCAATGCCCTTGTTTGAGTGGCCAAGCGTGTGAAGCACATCAACATTTTGTCCGGAAGCTTCATCTCTTTGCAATTACGAGGCATCTTTCCAACACGCAATTACGAGACATCACTCGAAGAGGTTCGCAAGGAGATTAAGCTTCCGGACCAAATTTTGATTTGCTTCACACGCTTGACCACTCAAACAGGGGCATTGCTCGTTGCATTGGACGCTCTGAGAAGTGTGTTCGAACGTATCTCAAAACTGAAACTCTTCGAGTGATGTCGTCGTGTTGGAAAGATGTCTCGTAATTGCGCGTTCGTCTTGATCGGTCAACTTTTTCTTCCGGCCCCGTGTTTCTTTCTTCTTAGGAGTCACTTTGGTCTTGAGATACGTGCGAATACTGTAAAATAGTCACCAACTCGGCTCGCTGTGAACTTTTATTAGAGAAAATACGGTATTTTTACCGAGAAAATCGAAAGCATTTGCGATTTGTTGTTGATAATTTAATGAAAGAGACAATCCGCCAATGTTCGCTTCAAGTGATTCCTGAACAAATACATAATACATTCAGATTACAGTAGCTTTCAGAAAGTTGAAACGTTTTGGAAAACGATTTGTTTTAAATGCTAGCTTTATTCGAGTACCGAACACTGTGCGTACCTTTCATGTGTCTCGTAAAAAAAAAAAACGGCACCTGGCTTTTTAGGTGCTTATCGTAAATACTGTAATAGTACCCCACCCCCATAATGACGGTGCGGAGCGTTGCGTTGTCTAGCTTTGAACGAGTTTTTCTTGACACTGGTTTATGCTACGATGCTACGATGTGCTGAACGCGATATTATGTGGAAGGAACTTTGCGACTATCATGGAATATCAAAGGAGATTATTGAAATTTTTGCAAAGCTTTGTGATGAATGCGAGCTGAAGAAGGGTATACCCAAGAAAGGAATTGTTATAAAACCAATTGTGACAATTGCTAATTTTGTTATTGTTATTGTTGTTACCGTAAATACTGTAATAGCACCCCATCCCCATAATGACAGTGCGGAGCGTTGCGTTGTCTAGCTTTGAACGAGTTTTTCTCGATATTGGTTTATGCTACAATGTTCGTTTTGGTATCAAAAAATAGCTGAGATTCAGGGCTATTTTTTGATACTAAAGACGCATTTTTTCAAAGTACGGGTGCTTTGAAAAAAATGAAATACTAAAAAACTTTTGCGACTACGCGACTGTACGGGGGGGGGGGAGGGCTGGGGTACTATTACAGTATTTACGGTGCAGCCGTATTTACGGTAAGTCTTTTCAAAATTGCAGATATTAAAAGTGAATGAGAAAGGAATCTTTGATGAATCTTCTTTCACTTTTTATTTTAAATCAAGTAATTGCTTTAAAAACTTTATTCTCAGCATTTATCCTTCATAGATTCGAAAGTAATCCTCTCGACCTTTAAAGAAGCGACCTCCCTAAAACCAGTAATTTGTAGCCTACATTTCTCGAACCTGTTGCCAGGGACAAGTGAAAGGAGGAGTGATACATTTACAGCCAGCTCTTCCCATATGGCAACAACTTTCTTGAGGAATTTTGCAATTCTTCTTCTGACAACACGTTTGTCCAGTGTTCTAGGAGATTATGAATACTGATTTGTAGAGTTCGGCAAACAAAACCAAAACCAAAACTCAATTTGCATATAAATAAACATGTAAATTTAAAATTGTAAAATGCAAATTTGCCTTTCACTTTTTCTCACTCCCCAAAATCTCGCGGCCGAAAAAAGGACCAAAACACGACCTCGAAATTTCGAAACAAAAAATAGCCTATGGGATAGATTTTTGGATGCTGATTTCAAATCTGCAAACAGATTTTCGCTAGCTCCTCCCAGTCGCGAGATATTGCCGAGTTTTGGTTAGTTTTGGTTTTGGTTTTGGTATTGGTTTTGGTTTTGGTAGTTTTGGTTTTGGTTAAGTTTTGTTTTCCGAAGTCTACTGATTTGTTTTTAAACGCTTTGCCGTTTGCCGTAAAAAAAAAACTTTGCCAAACTTACTTGTCCAAAAGAAAAACTAGCGAAAATTAATGAAATGATCAAAAATTTGAACATAATTTTTAGAAATTTAGAAAAATTTTAGAAATTTTTAGAAGAAATTTTCGAAAGTCAAATAATTTTAACAAATGAAACTCTTAAAATAGAATGATGCATGGAGAATTAATGAGAGGAAAGCCAAGTGAAGAATGAAGAATAAAAGAATCAATAACAAAATAAACTTTTGCTTTTGAAGCTTTTGAAGCTTTTGAAAGCTTTTGAAAGCTTTTATTATTTATAAAGCATCGTATTTTTAAAGGGAGGAACTATACGTTCCTAGGTCGGATGTGGACTAGAATTTGGGTTAAGTTAAAGAGAGCGGATCCCTTTTTGATATCTCGCCATCTCTAACACACCGACAACCCAACTCAACTCCTCCAACGTATTAGAGAGGAGTCTCTGTGAAATGACCGACCTGTACTGCAGTTGCATAGACCCGGAAGATACGTATCTTTATTTACAGTAATACAATAAGATGAATAGATTAGAAATGAGTGTAAGGGGAAGGGGGAATCATATTGGAATCCTATTGGAACCGTATTGTAGCCGTATTGGAACCGTATTGGAACCGTATTGGGACCTTAAAAGGAAACAGTATTGGAACCGTATAGGGACCTTAAAAGGAACCGTATTGGAACCGTATTGGAACCGTATTGGTATTGGTAAGACAAACTCCAAATCACTCCAAATCCAAATGAGAGTCTCATTTATCCTCCTAGGCAGTCCCAAGGACCGCCCCTTCTCGGCAATAAAAGGGATAAGCACAGGGGAGGACACATTTGCCACAATAGACAAGTCATTCAATAATGACAATAGTAACTAAAATATCAGTTTGGCTCGGAGCTGACAGAACAATAAATGTGTAATTGAAGAGGCAACACTTCTTAATTCATTTTAAATCCAAAAATAGATCTTTGGGTTACTTTAGCTTTTTCCTAAAACAAACATTATCCAAGAGCAATATGGGCAAGGGTTTTAAAAGCATACCGTAAATACTGTAATAGAGGGATGGGACAAATGCGACCTTTTTTTTTTTTGCGCACCCGGCCAAAAGCGCACCTTTTTTTTCGCTGGAAAAGGCCTTAGGAAAGGTCGTAGAGCTTCAAAAATGTTTTCATAGAAGGGAATCGTATGCGTAGATTCCGAATTTCGACAAATCAGACCTCGCTGACACGTCAAATTTGGGCTATAAGGCAAAAACTGCGGAAAAGCGTTAAGTTGCGTAGTTTTTGCCTTTTAGCCCAAATTTGACGTGTCAGCGAGGTCTGATTTGTCGAAATTCGGAATCTACGCATACGATTCCGCTCTGTGGATACACTTTTAAAGCTCTACGACCTTTCCGGGCCTTTTCTAGCGAAAAAAAGGTGCGCTTCTGGCCGGGTGCGCAAAAAAAGGTCGCGCTTGTTCCACCCCCTGTAATAGTACCCCCCTCGTACAGTCGCGTAGTCGCAAAAGTTTTTCAGTATTTCATTTTTTTCAAAGCGCTCGTACTTTCAAAAAATGCATCTTTGGTATCAAAAAATAGCCCTGAATTTCAGCTATTTTTTGATACCCAAACGCGCATTGTAGCATAAACCAGTGTCGAGAAAAACTCGTTCAAAGCTAGACTACGCAACACTCCGCACCGTCATTATGGGGCTGGGGTACTATTACAGTGTTTACGGTAAGTGTTGGCGAGTTGAGAGGCTACTGGCATACTAAATCTTTCATTTGCGGAGACGAGTTCTCAAATTTCTCAAGACACTTTTTGAAGTCTGTCCAAGCCGTTGAAGTCTAACCTCGAACTTGGGTAATTAAACCGAAATCGGAAGTCTTTGCCGCCCTATCAGAAAGAGCCGTGTGCCAGGTGCCGTTTTTTCTTACGAGATACACCAAAGGTACGCACCGCTGCTGCTTTTCACTCGAAAGGCAACCCTTTCGAGTGAAAGGGCCTTGTTTCTTGGTAGTTTTTTTAAGTCAAAAATTTATTTTTCTATTTATTCGAAAACAACAATATACAATGTACACGAGCTATTATACATATTTACATTTCATTTTTTTCTGAGCAGTTTATCACAATAGAACAAATAAAATCAAAAAAGGCACAAATTTCGTAAAACGATCATAATGGTTGCGTCCAAAACTCTTCCTCGTCACCCAATTGCATGAAATAATCGAAACCCTCACGATTTGTGTGACCATCTAAGCCGAATGAGAAGCTGAAAAGAATTTCGGCTTATTTAAGTGTACTTTTTTCTGTAAAAATTCAAATCCAAGGCAGTTCAGGGCAAAAAGTGAATGGGATTTTTGAAGAAACTCTGATAATTGTTACAACCACGTCTTTACTATTTAATTTAAAAATTGTTTACTAGTTAGTTATGAATTACCGATGATATGTGCCACCAGCACAGAGAGCAACGATTGATTGGATTCTTGTTGATGAACCAGGCACAAATGCCAATGTGAGAACACGAGGCTCGAGACTGATTTGAGCGATACTGCGCTGCTCCGATGGCATGAACTAAATTCAATTTGATAAAAAGAATTGCATAGATATGTAAATTTTCTCTAGTAGTCTAGTGGACTGTTGAGATTAAAATTTGAGTTTATAAGTTTCAATTGAAAGTTGTGGATGGAAGGTGGTTCGTTTTTAACTTTAAAAAAACAAACTTGTTGAAGCAAATTCTTCTTTGTCGAGCCAACATTACTCTTTGAGTCACGACAAGAGAAAATATGAATCGTTCCTTTGTCTGACGAAACGGCTAAGAAAGTTGAACAAGGGGAAAACTGAAAAGTGTTGGTTAAGATGATAGAAAAATGTTTCTCATTACCTGAATACAGTGCAATCCAGCTGGATCAGTGCCTCGACGAAACTCCCACATTGGCGCGCAAGTTCTTGTGTCGAAAATTCGAATCACTAAAGTTAGAGTTTATTTTAGATTGGTTCAAGTGATGATTTTTGACTAGTATTGTAGCTTTACAGCGTTTAAAAAGGCCATAGGATTTTTCACTAGATAGAAATCGATTAACTGCAAAGATTCTCATTTAATGCATTAATTTTTGATATTTGTACGCTTTGAAGGTCAATAACTTTCTCCAGAGATAATATTTTTATTAACTTTTTATATCATTGTACAGAGGACATTTCAGGCTTTCAAATGATACCAAATAAAGCTTGATTGGATAAACTCGTGTCCAAGAAAATCAGAGCCAACTCTAAGCAAATGAGGCCTATCCAACTCGCCTTGTTTGCATGAGAATGAAAAATCAAATCAACCTTTATTTGATATCATTTGAAAGCCTAAAATGTCCTCTGAACAATGATATAAAAAGTTAATAAAAATATTATCTCTGGACAAAGTTATAAGCCTATAAAGCCGTTCAAAATACCCGAAAACTACGCAAGGGCCAGGATTTCTTTTAAGGTTTATATTAACTTTTCACAATGAAACCAACCAGTTCCTTTAATCGATCCAGTGGCTAGCAACATTCCCTGCTTATTCATTGCCATATGAGCGATTTCATTCTGATGAGCGTCTACTGTTTTCGAATGTTGAGACAGAGTACTCGACACTTTGTCTAATCTCATAATTTGAACGCTTCCGATCTAAAAATCGTAAAGTTTTCCCTTAACTGCGTTTTCAAAGTCTAATTGAATATATTAGGTTAGCCGATAAGTCTAAAAACAATAAACAAACGTTTTCATAAGATTCAAACGTTATTTTGTAGAAAAATAGGTACTTTTCTAATATCGGGGGAGCGAAAGGAAAATCGGGGGGCAAATTTTGCCCCTTCGAAAAATGCATTTCCGAGACTGTATTTTAACTCCAACGTTTTTTTTTAAACTTTAACGACGATGCGCTTCTCCGACATTTATGTGTTTAAGGAATCGACGGCAATCGATTATTTCGTCACCAAAGGAGTCATCCAGTCGTGGATTTGCAACTGTTGCGAATCGATGAAAGTCCGCTCAAAGGGAAAAGATCTATTTAGCTGGGCGTTAGATATTTAAGTCACTTTTGTGATCTAATATAAAGGTTGTGAGAATAACGGGTAATTCGCGGATTTTATGGCGGTAGTTTGTATAATATAGGATATATGTAGCGCTGCCAAAATTTGCTCCCCCGATTTTCCTTTCGCTCCCCCGGCATTGGAAAAGTACCGAAAAATAATAGGCCTTTCTAATGGAGCCAATTGTATGTCAATTGGTGAATTTGTCATTTATAAAAGCTAATAGAAAAAATTTTCTAAAGACTTATCAGCTAACCTAAAACTTTAGACTTATCGTCTAAAGTTTGTTTCACTACATTACCGTACAATTTGTTTTTTGTTTGTTTTGTTTCACTACACTTCAATATACCAAAATAGAATGCGATTGATTGAATAATCTTAAAGTTCTTCAACAACTAAACAGCAACAACAACAACAACTTTGGAATACCTTTTCAATAGGCTACTGTCACTTAAACGTAAACATAATACTTCAGTTCTTTAGTTGTTTAGTTCTCTTTTACACGAATTGCACCAATCAACAAATTCAATTCAAACCTTGAATCCTGAAAAGGCCAAACAAGGGAAAGTGACATCGGCACTCAAAGCGCAAATCGTCTAAAGTCAAAAAAGTTGTTGTTTTGAAGGTTTTCCTACTTTTTGACTCAATCCAACTTCCTCTGATCGCAAAAGTTTGCACGGATTGGGGAACTAAAGCTTTTTAAAGCTTACGATAATTTATAAAACCTGGAAAATGTGTAGTTTTCTTGCTTGCACGACGATCAAATGGGTGTATGAGGCTAAAATGTTGAGAATGGCACCGCCGGGGACTGCAATCTAGAAAAAAAAACATTGAATCAAGGAATATTGTTGACATTATTGAAGTGATGCTGGCAAAAAATTAATTAAACGCACCTCCAACACCAATTCCTTTGCTTTATCATCCCAGACGAAGACTGTATTTGAGGGGAATTTCGAGCCAGGTGCCCCCGAGAAAATGATGAGATTTGAGCGGTGGAGAATCGTGCAGAAACCGACTGATCCGACGAGGTCCTAAAATGATTTTAGTTTAAAGTAACAGCCTTCAGCTCAATATTTAGCTAATCGAAAAAAGTTTCTAAAGACTTACCAGTCAACCTAATAGTTTACTTATTTAGCTGAATATCTTGAGCTTTAAGTAAAAAGCTTAGAAGTTATTTACTCTGGCATTGGGCTGGTAAAGAAAGCCAAAAAAAACAAGGCTGTTAAGTCAATGTTATGGCTTTCAATTGGCTTTAGCCATTTGATTGAGCCATTCAATTGAAATTTCAAGCTTACTGTTGAATTTGTTCAAATTTCGCTCAAAACCTTGACTCTTGGCCTAGAATTTGGCTTTTTTTGTCAACCTGTAGTAGAGCAAAATAGATAAAAGAGCAAAAGCTTATATAAAGCTATAAAAATAGATTTTAAATCGTTACCTTACTAACACTTGAAAGCAATGCCAGTGGATTCACATTGAATAAGCGAATTCCCGAATCGGTGGCTACTGAGAAAATATCCTGATCAGCATTGATGCCCACTGAGTTGATCTTTATTGAACGCATTCCACTAAAGATCCTTTTTAAGTACACTAGAAAGAATATGTTTACAAAGTTGAAAACAAAAAATATACAAAATAACAAAGCTAGTAGTTGCAAGTTTAGCAGAAAAGCTTAGAAGAAAAGATAAATCTGTAAATTTCAAAAGACCTCAACAACTAAATTCTAGAATATTAAAATCTTGAAATGTAATTTCAAAAATCAGTAAAAAGTGGTTTATCAAGCCAAATATTGAGCTTAAGAGGCCCATCGGAAGACCAGCAACGAGGTGGAGCACAAGAGTGGCAGAGACGGTCAGAGAAAGGATGGCTAGAGTGCAACCACCACCAGCACAAGCAAGTCGAAGACTTCGAACCAGGAACAATCAAGCTAGGAAACACTGGATGACAATAGCAAGGGATAGAGAAATGTGGAAGCAGGTTGTGATCTGCGCAAAATAGGAACACCTGAGTGCGAAAACAGATAAAAAAAAATATCGAGCTTCACTCACGCGGTGCAATTCTCTTGCAGATGAGAAACAGATGGTGTGTATTGTAGTCTTGTGTAGCTACACTGCACCCAACTACAGCAATTTCACATTTACCACACGTAATTTGACATTTTCTTAATAATTTGTGAATTTAGGGCAATTAACAAAGTTAGTGCAAAATAGAAAACGATTTGCGATCGAAAAATAAAAATGACGTTTTCTATTTGACACTAACTTGATAAGAATTTTTGAATTTTCAATTGTTTGATTGAATAACTTTTATTTGAAGGCTTTTGAAAAAAAGAAATTTGAAAAAGGCTAATTGGTTAGTTTTTTCACGCAGATTTTGCGGTAGGCTAGTTTCCGGGACTTTTTTTTTGCGCAATAGGGTTATTTCCGCAACTTTCCATTTCCATAGGCTTTGGTTTGACTTGGCCTAAAATTAGCGTTGGCTTGGTTTTGCCTTGATTTAAACTGAAAATTTTGCTTTTTGCCAACTGTGGTGCTATTAAATTGACTAAAAAACGCAAATTCTGAAGCTCGGTGTTAAAAGTGTTGACATTATTTGACGGGGGTGGCTACTTTGCGTCAAATTTTTTGCTCAACTGAGTCTTCTGCCCAACTCGCCATAACTTTCTTCTAAGTCGACCAATTTTTCCGATTTTGGTTTCATTTTGTAGATCTCAATAAGTGCAACAAAATGAAACCAACACTAAAGATTGGCCGACTTAGGAAGAAAGTTATGGCGAGTTACGTAAATGACCCAGGCCCAGTTGCGCAAAAAAAATTGCGGGAAATTAGCCTACCCCCCAGATTTTGTTTCAAGAATTCCGTAAAATAAGCATTTTTTAAGTACATTTGCTTTTTTATAACTTTGATAACTCTCCAACCTTATAATGTTTTTCTATTTTTCAAGAAATGGCCCTTCTCAACGTTTCTGATTCATGGATCATCATCTCGGCCACGTCGAAGCTCTTCTTTCTTCAACGAAAAGGAAAAGATTTGGAAACGACTTCACATAAGGTATATTTCGTTTAAAATAATTTGCAAACACAACTTTCGGTACTATGGCTGTTGGGGGCACTTTTTTTCATGCAAAACCACTTCTTCTGGGGTAGTTTTATGCGTAGATTCCGAAAAACACAACGAGAGCTCGGGAAAAGGCGTTTCAAGCCGAGTTTCGGGGCTTCAAAGTGTATACAGTGTGATGAGAGGGATACACATAAGGGAAAGGTCTAAAAATGGTCTCTCAAAACATTTTTTAAAGCCAAAAACACTTTTTCTGGCATAATTAAACCTATTGTTTACGTTTATGATCAAATTGGAGCAAAATAAAATTTTTTTTAAAAATCTTGTCCATGAGTCAAAATCTCAAAAATTTTCCAATTCATTTTGCTTCTACCAGTCAATTTAAGTTAGAAAATGAATATTTAGTGGTTGAAAATGGTTTTGGCTCTAGTTTTGACCTTGAAAAGTGCCCCAATAGTCGATAGCTTGAGCTCCGTATAGTGAAGTACACTATAGAAGCGCGCACTTTAGAGTCCCGAAACTCGGCTTGAAACGCCTTTTCCCGAGCTCTCGTTGTGTTTTTTTTTGGAATCTACGCATAAAACTACCCCAGAAAAAGTGATTTTGAAGAAAAAAAAAGTGCCCCCCGCCAACTGCCTTAGTACCCAACTTTCTTGCTAAAAGATAAGGGTTTGGTAGAATTTATGCACTCTACAAAATCTTGCAGCTTAGCAAAACATGGTAAATGATTCATAACTACAGAGGTGGCAAAAGGGACGGGGCGAGATTTTGTAAATTTTTGCAAGAGGCGGGGAAATATAATTAAACCTATTGAAAACAGTGAATTTGTGCAAATTTACACTAAGGGGCGGGGCGAGCTTGAAAAAATGAAAAATTATAACTAGAAAGGGGCGAATGGAGAGCGATTGGGTCTTAATTCTGCGGATATAAGGAGCGGAAAATTTTTGGGGGACCGGATGAGGGACAGGAGGCGACCCTTTTGCCACCTCTGTCTAACTAGGCTTGCATAAGTCATAAAAGCTCAAAAGGCTTATGCCTTTGGTTGAAAACATAAAATTCCCAGAATGAATAAAATTTGTTAACAATGTGCTTTAATGAGCTGTTTTAAGCTCGTTTTTGCAAAAAAACTTAATGTAATCAAAAGTTTAAGTAGATATGATTATTTCATTTAGATAATCGATGTGACGGAGGTATCAACGAGTCTCCCATTTGTGCGTACCACCTACGAGTTGGAGGAAAACGTTCGAACGAATCAGGGGGAGAAAATTGAGGTAAATCAAATAATTTTTTTACATCCCTTCCTTTAGATGTGTTGTTCAGCGATTTCTCGAGACGGACAACTCTTTGCTGTGGCGATTTCGTCGAAGATTTGTCTGATATACTCCCTGTCTTCATCGATTGAAATGAAGCGAGCATTCCGAGTGCCAAAAGCCCCATCAGTAATCACTTTTGATCCACAAGGAGAACATTTGGTAAGTTATCAGCTTTTTATGGTAAAATTCAACAAGTTAAATGTGCAATTTTACTGCTTTCATATTTTAGAAAATGAAACGCAAGGTATTATAATGGTTTAAACATTATTTAAAGTCATTTTAGAT